AGATTATATATAATCATATATAATTATATATGCTTATATGTAATTAACATATATAAAAATTTTTTCTTTGAAAAAAAATTTTTTTTTGGTAATCACAAAAAGTGTAAAATGATGTTTATAATTACGTTTACATAATTCTGAAATACAAAATTTGTCACATTTTCTATGAGATGTTTTGTCTGCTCTGCTACTACGTAATAGTAAAATCATTATTTATTTTATTATTTAAATAAGTTTTATATTATAATGAAATTCGGTAAGATGAATAAATTATGAATTATGACTATCCAAATATATTATAAAATCAATTTTTATATAATATTTATGATAAACTCATATGATACATTGAGTAGATCATAGAATCATTATTGTCTAAGATAGCAGCACAGCAGACAGAGACTTCAAGACGCATGGAGATCACCAAAGTTAAGCAGCATTGAGCAGGGTTAATAGTTGGATGGGTGATCACTGGTGTTATAGCCATAAAATTAGTTCTAGATATTTTTTTTGCATTTTGATCGGTTACACAGAATTGCGTAGGCCCATATTAAATACTCTATCCATAAAATTAACCTAATAATTAATTAGATGCAATAAATATATTGTTATATATAGTTATATATAATTATATATAGTTATATATGATTATATATAATTATATATGATTATATTTGGCCATTTTTCATATATAATCATATATAACCAATTTATATATAAATATATATAATTATATATAAATATTTTTTCTCGGGAAGTTGTGGGATTTTTGTTTATGCTTATTTTAATATATTACGGTTTTTTTTTTCTTTCGAAACAAATCATATAATTGAGAAGAAGTTCTTTCTTCTACAAATAATTTTATCTATTTTTAAATTTCAAATTTTTTCAAGTGCTGAAGAGTTAAATACGATATTATTATTACAAATGAATATGTAATTATTGTTGAAAATGTGATTTATTGTTTTAGGTAATTGGGTGACAACAATGAAAACGGCGATGGCACTTTTGACCACAATTGATTTAGGTCCCGTTCGTTTTCCAAATGGATCACTTTCTTCAGAAAGTATTGAGGTTATGAAGAAAGACCTTAAATTACTGGGATATAACTTAAATTAAAGTACAAATTTATTTCAACAAGAAATTGATTCATAAAGATTATTAGAAATTACAATAAACATAAGATTTATGTATATATTTGTTTCTTTTTTATTTTCAAAAACAATCAATAATATGAAACAATAACATTTGTTAGTTATAAATATATACAAGATAAATCAACATAACACAGAAACTATATAGATAACAAAGTTATATATTTTCAATTAATTATTTATTATCATATAACATAAATATATTTGAACTTTTTTTAATTCTAATATCCTCTCTTTTTTATCGGTTCAAAAAAATTTACTCATTAATATATTAATTTGATTTAGAAATCAATTTATGTGATTTTTGACAGAATTTTTAATTCAAATTTATAGTTTCAAAACACTATTCTTGATATTTAGAATTTTTTTTATTTCTTCTATATATAATTATTTGTTGGTTATTAATTAAATTGTTCCATATAATAAAAAATAAAAAATTGAAAACAAATTCATTAGATATTTTTTTTTAAATAATAAAACTTTCACAGTTATATTATTTTCTCAAGATTTCTTTTTTTATAATAATATTTTGTTCTCTAATTTCGTCAAAATATATATTCAATTATTTAGGCAGTTGTAATAGTTTTGGTAATAGATATTAAAATCTTTCGCTTTTATTTATAAACGGCCTTTGTTTCTATAATAAACATTTTATAATTATTAAACTGGGCATATCTGTATATTTATACTCTATAATATATATAATATTACAAATTAACATAGCCGATAATCTGCAATATAAAAGAACAAATACTTTTTATGCTTCAAAATCTCAACAGCAATATAGTTAATTTCACTATCTTATCAATCACGACAATTATATTATTCATTCTGTCAGTTGAATAGTTTTAGACCCAACAAAACATCGGCACTTACAAAATTTTATAATTTTCAACTCAATGTGACCAAATAATTTATTATACAAACTGATGTATAAAAATTTTATTTTATATAATTTTCTTCATTATTTATTTCTTTTCGTACAGTAAAACAATTTTAATATTATCGAATTAAATTTTCCTAAATTTTCTTGGTTTTGAAAGTAATAGTAATGCAAATAAAATTACATGAATTTTGAATATCAATCTATTATTTAGATGCATTTTCTTTAATTAAGTAACTTCACATAATAATTTGCAGTTAAAAAGAAAATCGAATGAATAATATTTCACGATCATTTGTACGATTTCGAGAAGATATTAACGCTGTATATTATTAGATCATTTGTAAAAAATCTAACTTGTCAAATATAAATAATAAACTATGTACATTTATTCTCTTAAAACAACTTTACAGTTAGGTGAGATCGATGTATATTTACAGAATGATTTTGTTTCGTTAATTAATTTATCGAATCTTACTTTGTCGCACCTCAATTTTTGGCTTTATAAAAAAGTACTTCTAACATAATAATATATTTAACAGAATATGTTAAATATGCGGATAAATATATTCTCTATATCATTGAATCTGAGTAAATGATTCAGTTGTTTAGGCACCCAAAATCATGACAAAGAATTAATTAACTTTGTCAAATTTTTCTTCCCTTTTTAGAATCTTCTCTATATGTGACTTCTGATGAATTTGATCTTATTAATTATTAAATATATAAAATTTATAATCTTCCATATTTTTTGATACTGATAACAATAAAATTTTTGACAAACTAAAAATTTAATAATTTAGACCACAATCTGGTTAGAACTCGTCTTCGCTGGACTCTGAACTATGCGCAAGTTGTTCTACCCACCATTCCTTAACTTCTAAAGTAACACTACTTACTTTTGGTACTGAAGTTTTAGTGCTTGATATTTCTCGCGGTCTGATTTGTTCTGTTCCTTCCGAAAGATGAGGCAAATTGTTTTTCGCTAATGCTATGATTAATAAAACATTTAAGTAAATGTTAATTTACAGCCACGCATAGGAATATAATAAATACAAATAAATACTAAGATAAAAGACCCCAATTGTGGCACCTTTAACCCCTATTAGTGGCACTTTTTCTTTCAATAAAAAATGTTCAACTTGAAATAAAAATTAAAAATTTTTTTGATCTAAATGTCTTAAAGATTATAAATAATATATTCATTATTGAAATTAATGATTTCATTAATTGAATAAGTACTAAAATCATAGAAAGTGTCAGTAATAGGGTCCCGCCACTAATGGGGTTTTTTACCCTAGTACAAATTAAAAAAATCAAAACTTACGTGGAGGCCGACTATTTCGTTTCTTTGATGCATTGATTTTTTCTTTTTCATTGCGACCAGAAACAGGATCTGATAATGTTGGCGCTAAATATTTTCTTCCCGTCACGCTCCCAATGCTATCAGATCTTGGCAATACGACTGGCTTTTTACTTCTGTGACGAATACCTTCAGTTTCCTAGAATACAGAAAAAAAATAATTAGGAAAACGGTTGACCCTGAAGGCCATCCCTGCAACTTCCCGCCAATTCTATACCTAAACGCTTGAAATTGCACTTATGACGTTTTTGAGCTCTCTGAACTCAAAAAAATAGCTTTTGTAAGCTTTAACAAGTTGTCCAAATATTTTAGAGTGTATTTATACTAACCTATAAGATTTTATTGCCGCTAAATTAAAAAGTAAAATTTAATTACCTTTGTTTCAGTTTCTTCTTCACGTTCAACAACATTTTCTTTACTCTTTTCTTCGGAATGATCTTGAGCCAATGTTGCCAAATCATTGGTCGCTCGTAACCCAGCTATCAGACTATTTTGTTGTTTCTATACAATTCAGAAATATCAATTAATTAATTAATCAATTGAATTAATATAACATATTTTATTCTAAAAAATTTCTTACTCCAGTGGCGCGTATTTTTTTCAAACATCCTTCTAACCAAGTTCGTATTGTCTGTTTGGCCACTTCTTCCTCGATGATATATTCGAACTCTTCTCGTGCTAGAAGTTCTTCTAATTGGAGAGCTTTCCTAATATCTACTGAACGGTACGAGAGCATACTGAAAAAAATGGGTTTGTAATAAGTTGATAAAATAGTTTGTGCTGAGCATCTTATCTATTTCTACTCACTTTATAACATCATGAAAAGTAACATCTTCTCCGTTATGTAATCTTTCAAGCTCATAGCACATATATTTGAAAAGTAGTCGATCTTTCTGTGGATCGGTTTCTAATCTTCCTTTCAAAAGTCTTAATATAAATTTAACCTTAAATAAAATACAATACTATTAATTTACTTGATAGATATTATTAATTTACTAGCAAACTTTTCAAGGGGTTATATCCACTTGTAATTTTGTAAAATTTGAATTTTTTTTTTTTTGTATATATTGAATGTACATATATTTGAGAAATTAGCGTATTTGTAAAGATTTTTTAACTTAGTAAATGATTCCCAAAACTTCAAACGCGTTTTTCTCGAAACGGTGTTTTCAAAGTCGGTGAGGAAAATTTCTTCGAAACGGTTGGGCCGATCGGCTTGAAATTTTCACACGATCTTCTTAGATACTTGTATCAGGTAATCATCAAAGGAATAAAGTTTCTGATAATAATTTCGATTTTTTAAGCCACTTTAAACTGTAAATTTTCTTGAAAAAAAAAACGACTTTTTTCTTTGGAAAGCCGCCATTTTGTCAAAAATCAACATTTTGACTATTCCATCGATCATTACCTGTATTCATATATCCTAAAAATAAATCTTTTGTTTTTTTTTTATTTCTGATAATTTGGATCAGAGATATCATCCTCACCGCCAGACACCTTTTTGTGCAGGTCCTCTAGGAGATCTACTACAGGAACAACGGAACCCAATATTTTTGTAAATACATCGCGAATTCTTAAAATAAATTATATTCGCTATATGTACATTTATTCTATGTATTTATTTAATAAAAAGCCTCTTCACAAAAAATTCACAAAAAAATACATTTTTTCGGACTCACAAGTGGATGAAACCCCTTAACACACCCAGATTGATCTACACCCTAAACTTTATTCAATTATGATGGATCTTTTGATATTAAGTACAACTATTGTACTTTTTAATAATTCTTTAACTTGAATAGACTTAAATAAAAAAAAGGTAAATTTAATGAACAAACATAAGTACAAAGTAATTTTTTTCTTTGTAGTTTTAGAAATGTCTATAAAAAATTTATTAATAGTAAAAATTCAATACATACTCGTCTGACTGGAATAACTCCTCGTTGATGTATGTCAACGACGTTCCATGTATTTTGAAAATTCCTTATATCAGCATAAGATAACAGTGCGTCTTCTTCGTTTGAATAAAAGAGTGAAAAGTTCTCCATGATAATAGCTGTAATAATTAAAATCAAATAATTTTTAATCAATAAGAAGGATTTCTATATTAAATAAAATCCACATGTAGAAATTTAGAAAAACTATAAGTATAATTTTTTTTTTAATACTTCTTTACATCAATTTATTTTTTTAATCAAGCCAAAAATGGACAGGTATCTGTTGATTTCTGTATCATCAGGTTTTTACGTTGTATATTTTTAATAAAATTAATTTTTGAGCCGGACTTTCTTATTTCAGCGTCACTGATTAGATGGACAATAAATAAACGTTCAATTTTTGCTTTATACTAACCCACTAATAAATTCAACACGATGTATGTTATAATAACATAAAATGTACAGAAATAAAAAAGTGAAGCATGAAAATTTCCACAGTCAGTTTCCCAGTAATTAGGAGCCGGTGTACAGTATGGCGGTTGTACCATGCAGTCATGCATTATTTTGTTCCAATCTTCACCGGTTACGATACGGAACAACATAGCCACTCCGGTAACTGGTGATTCAAAATTAGCTCGCCTAGAAAAATATTTTTAAAACTCACAATTAATAATGGTAATAAATTTTAAAGAATGTTTAAAATTAAAGTTACTTCTCACCTCCCGATTCCTTCTCCATACTTGACAGTACCAAATAATATAGTACCAGCAAGTGCGTAGAAAAACACCAACAAAAACATACCAAATATAATGAAAAAACTCTTACAAACTGATACACCGACAGTTAACATCAACATTTTTAGTGTCGTGTGTTTTCCTGTGATTGTAAAAAATCTGAGGATTACAACCATGAAGCCAATAACGTATGATAAATCATTTTTCATTGTGCAATGAATAACTATCCAAACTACTCCAACAACAGTAACCAAAAGATCGTAACGATTTCTTCTTGATTGCCAATAACCCCGCGGCGTAAATGCTATATTTTTCATTATTACTTCAACAACAAACACTAGTACCAGCATTGTTGACACTGTAGCTAATGCTTCTGTATGTTCTTCTTCAATTCTCCACTATAATTATTAAAAAAAATATTACTTAAATTTAACATACTCTTTGTAGAAATTCAATATTGAAAAATGATCATATTTACCGAAACGCACAGTAGCCCGCTGTTTATTAAAACCATAACTGCAATAAATCTTTTGAAATATATATTTTGAGTTATATCATAAATAAATGCACGAAATTTCTTTCCATCTGGACGAGGTGGCAAATGCAGTGGCTGAGCTATTTTCAGTCTCTTCTTCAAATCACACCTATACAATTAATTAAAATTTATTATCAAAATAAACTTGGAATTTTAAATAGTTCAGAAAGAATAAATACCATCTTCTTTGATCGACAGTGAGTAAAGCTGTTCCTTTGTTTTCGGAATAGTTAGCGATAACAACACCAACAAACAGTGTTAAACCGATCATACAACCAAGGAAAATATAAATGTGAATGTAAATCGCGTGAACCTTTGGACATATTTATAGTTATTATTAATCATTTCAAATTGCATGCTTTTTTAATGATAAAAAAGAAGATAACTTACTGGACCAAGCGCTTTGATTAAAACATCTCTTACATCAAGCCAACCTTTGAATGAAAGAACTTCGAAGAGAGCCATCATTGCGTCTCCGATATTATCGAAGTTGAATCTTCTCGGATTTGCCCTAAATTTTAGAAAATTATTTTTTGTTTTTATTTAGTTAATTTTTATGAATTAATATTTAAAGTTAAAATATAAATATTCTTTACTCAAGAAAATATTGAAGATTAAAATTATCTCAAACAAAGTAAAAATTTTTGATTTAAGTGAAATTTTTTCTTCACAGTCAAAAAATGCTCCAACGATTCTGATCAAAATATTTAATATTGAAAAAATAATTTACATGAATCAAAATATTTGTCGTTTTCCTAATGATTTTCGTTTACCAAGAAAATTTTTTTTGAGCAAAAATAACTTTTTTTTCTATGTGAAAATGTTAATTTTTTTCAAAAAAGTACTTTTAAGGATTAATATAGTAATACTTAATTTTTCTGTAAATAATGATAGCTAATTTTGGTATTTTAATTAAGATGACAATGTAGTTGAAAAGCATTGTTAAAAAAATTTCCAAAATTTTAAGTTACACCGTAAATAGTACAAATAATAAAATTTCTGAAGAAATCTCACCATACGCGTGGTACTAAAATCGATGGATAGCTTTCATTTTCACCAGGTTTGAGTTTCATTTTAGTAACAAAGACTCGTCTCATAAAAACTCCAACACAGTCCTCTCGTCTTAAAATTGTCGGATCATTGCAGCGAGCTAATCTACCGCCATACAATTGAACGCCATAACTCGCAAATACAAACATCAGAAGAATTAAAAGTGTTGATACCTGTTCACCAATATTTTAAAAAATTATATTTGCATTATAAATGACCTATAAGCTAAATAAAACGCTTACGTACCAATAAAATTTCTTTGAAACCTCTACACAATTCATAAACAACTTTTTTCATATGAGGCACTAGTGTAAATATTCTAAGAGGTCTTACACATCGTAAGATCATCAATAGCTGTGCTCCTGAATTAGGTGGCACGCTTTTGGGCATCCAACACAAAAAGACTAAGCTGACCTATAAAAATCATAATAAAATTTTATAACCGTATTTAACAAACAATTATAATATATCATAACTACACAGATACTCATTACTCATTACTCACTATGTAAATGAAAACATCAAGTACAGACGCTACATCTTTAATGTAAGCCTTTGGCGTGAAAAATAAACCATCTGCGAGGATCTTCAAAGCCAATTCGATGCTCATAAAAATAACAAAGCCATACTCAGCAACTTGCAGCACTGGGATTTCCATAACTCGATATTTCGGTGTTTCAAACATCATAGAAATACAGGAGAGGGTTGTCGCGCATATCATTACCCAATCTAAATAAGTTACAAGTCCCAGAAAATTGCTGTAAAAGTAATTTGTACAAGAATATTTGTTTTGTTCTTTGAGATGAAAAAATTTTTATTATAAATTTAAACTCACTGGAGACTTTTATACTGAACTTTCCGTTCTTTGCCAGTTAAAGGATCTTTTAATCTAGCGTCATATCTAGCGTAAACGAGAAGTTGGCAAATTTTCCGAAATTTACTTTCCCGTGGGACGGCAAAAAGTGGAGTGTCGAAGAATGGATGGTTTTCTCTCAAATCATCCTCACGTTGGTTTCTTTGAAAATAAATAAAGTTAACCAAATTATTTGGTAGAAATATACATTATAAATATAATTTTTGTAATGGATTGTGTCAAACTAAAATTTGAGTTAGCACCTTCTCATTTCAGCTTGCTGTCTCTTAGCCTGAAGTAATTTGATATCAAGATCATGAGGCCTACTACGTGAAGAAGTGACCCTGTTGATAGCTCCGATGTCCCCATTTTCGACCAAATGTTCGTAAGTTTGCTTCAGCTTTATCGACCCGCTACGAACACTTCGACGAATTGATCTTGAACATTATTATTATATTCAATAGAATGTCTGTTTTAAAGTATTCATAGACTTCTGATTAAACTTACTTTTTTTGATCGATTCTCAGTTGTTTTGCGCTACTTATCGTGCCCTGAGGTTTCAAGAGGCTCTTACCAGGTATCGGTATCATCGCTGAGTCTCCAAGTAACAATCTTTGGTTATTTGAGTCACTGAAAATTTTAATTATTGCGTTATATAATTTATACTTTGTTAAAGTAAAAATCTATAAAATAAAATAATTTTTAATAATGCTACCTGATGATATAATTTATGGCTGCTTTTTTTAGATCAGTCATAACATTTCTGACTTTCGGTGGTTGGTTCAAAATTTTAACTGGTCGTTGTTTTCTGTAAATCATTTTTGAGTCAAATGTTTCATTTATTCTTTTAGCCGTTTCGCTTTCTTCATCTTCAACTTCGTAAACGAATTGCCGCATAAAACTCTCTCGAACCTTTTTATGATCATGAAAATTATTTTATTTTTTGAATATTGACAATTGACATAATACTTGGTCGTAATTACCTTAGGAAGATTGAAGTCTGATGGGACTTTATGTAAACAAGTCATTTGTGGACTATCGGGAAATTTTTCAAAAATTCTCAATCGAAATGGAAGTGTTTCTTTAATCTCAGCACTTTGCTCACGAAATTTCAATTGTTTTAATTTTTTTATATCTTCGTCAAGTTCTAAATTATCAAGAATTACAGCGACGAAAAGACTTAACACAATCTAAAAATTGTAACTGATGTTAGTAAAATATTTGTGAAGCATTTCTTAACCGAAAATTTAAAATGTGCACATTAAAAAATTTTGCGTCATATTACACACAAATTAAGTAGAAAAAGAATGATGACTATATTTTTTTTGTGTAGTTCTTACGCAAACACCTATACTATACTATACACAAGTTGTACACAAAATTTTTTTGATGCAATCACGGAAAATTTTTTACTGTGTATAATTTGTGAAAAATACTCACGAGAGTTACGAAAAGATGGTAAATAATAAAATAAACTGCAACTAGTGGTGCAAAAGTTTCATGAGTTCTCACCATCGTTTCATCCATTACTTCAACCCATGCTTCTTGAGTAAGAATTTGGAACATAGACATGAATGCCTAAAATCAAACGATTCATATGTTTTTGTAGTTATTACCTTTTAATTGTAAAGTAGTTTAATAAAAAATAAAACATAATTTTCTACATTTTCTTAAAAAGAGTAGAGAAAACACTCAAATTTTTTTTCCAATTTGAAAAATTTTCGAATAAAAATCTATCTTTTTGAAAATGATGTCTCCTTTTACCGAGCTTAGTTATAAATTTTTTTAAAATAAATATTAAAATAAATATTATCATCACTTACTTCAGGAAAAGTCTCAAATTTAGTGAAATCGCATAAATAACAAAAAAATTGCATTGATATACTGGAAGATATAACAAGTAAACACATGGTAAAGATTATAAGACTTCCAAGTTTTTTTCCTGGTCCAAAAATTTTGTAAACAAAATCTTCAAGCATTGGAGAAGCTTTAATGAGTCTAACAACCCTCAATACCTGATAAATAAAAATGTGCACTTCATTAACGAATCCATAACTTACTAATAATGAATAGCTGATAACTTACTTGAAAATAAGTAAATCCAGAAAGATAAAACAGTGGTATAATATGAATAGTCGTGCCGATTGATAATAACAATTCGAACTTATGTATTGAATGTTTGTAGTAACTTCGGAAACCGAGACACCATATTTTGAAGAGTGTTTCCAAATCGAGAAATATGGTGAATGCTATCTCAGCGTAGTAGTAGTTATCGTAATAATTATGTCTTGGTCGTTCGTCATGTTTGAAGTTCATTGTAGCTGTGGTGATTCCATTCGCTAAAATTGCGCACATAACAATCATTCGAAAATGTGGAGAGCGTAAAATTGCTTGACAGAGTGGTGACGCAAGTCCTCCATGCTTGTTGTCATCCAGTGTAACAAGCTTCCAGCCGCTATCATCTCCCGATAGAATCTGAAAATATTATTTTTGGATTTAGAAATGAGGAAAGATAGTTGGGCTCAAAACAATTGGAGTGACATTAAAAGTTTCTAGACTCAAAACATCCAGAAACAAAAATTAATGATAGGACTTATTTACTTTCTATTATTTCATGTTCTCATTCTAAATTTTTTGGACTGGTCACAAAACAAAAAAAATTATTTAAAAGTTACTTGTGAAGCAGAACTATTTGTTATTTGTCCTCTGGTGCCCCACATCTGTTGAAACTGTACTCGAATTTCATTGAATGTTTCAGTGATAACAGCAATAAATACGTTTTTCACTAGCCACGCCAGAAAAAATATCATGGTACTGAAATAGAAAATAGCTCGCCAGGCTGGAAGACTGTCAATCGCCCGGTACATGATGAAGACCCAGCCCTCTTGAGATGCTGCTTGGTATACAGTGAATATACTGGTCGCTGTAACAATATTTAAAGCATAACGTGATTTTGTGTCACTTACTTTAAGAATTTAGAATTTATCAAATAGATTAATGCAGACCGAACTCATCGAATCCATTGAAGCCCATAATGTATTTTGATAGTTCTAATTTTAAGCACTTCATTCCTTCAGGACATTGATAACCCGACTCGGGGTCAGTGGAACAAAATGTATCTGGAATAGCCAAACTATTTATAGTGATGTGATTAGGATTAGTGGTATTGAGAACACAGTGATTTTTTAGTTCTCCAAAGAATTGAACTCCCAAAAGTCCGTACAGTGACATGAAGAACAGGAAAAATAGTGTTACATTGTAGATTTGCTGACTCGATCGTCTAAAAAAAATGAGAAATCTATTACCTATATTCAAAATAAAAATTATTAAAAATCTTTCTTAACGAAAATTTCATTTTTTGTAAAAATGGTCCTTATCAATTTTTTTAAATCTCCCATTCTTCAGACAAAATTATAAAAAAAAAAGTAAAAATTGACAATAGTGCGCACTCTAAAAGTTTTTACCTATATAGTTAAAAAACTCAGTAATTTTCAAAATTGAAGAAAAAATTTTTCGAATAATAAATTGACATCAAATTTTAATGTAAAATTTTTCAATAAATTGTATACCAAAAATTGCATCGACTAAAATTATCTCAAATGAAGAAAAATTTCTTAGTTCAAGAATTTTCTCCTTGATTCAAGACGATAAAATTTTTTTCTCTTGAATCAAGTTAATTTTTTTTATCAATGTATAGTGAAAATTTGGAAACTCACTTGAATATTTGATTGATTCTCGCTTTAGGCATTGAAAACTTCAAAAATACTCGTATAAAACGTATCATAATTAGTGGTCTTGGGGCTCGTATTACTGACACAGCGCTAAATTTACTGACGAATCCAAGCATCTCGAACATTTGAAGAATAACTGATAGCCAAAGGAAAAAAACCATCACTGCATCAAATTTACACCAGTGATCTTTCAAATAGGCCTTGTCTCTCTAAAAAAGTATAAACCCCAATTATATTTGCAAGCATTTTTTGAATAAACAACATAGAAATTATGAATGATTACATTCAATATTCCACGTATGTGCATTTTGGCAATCATTTCAGCTGTGAAGAGAAAAGTGACAATAAGATCTATAACGAATGTTGTGATCTGTAGTTGAGGTACTTTTTCGAAGGTTTTCGGGGTGTTCAGGCATACTGACATTAGTGACATTAATGCACAAGCTCTCATCAACCTCCTTATCCATAACTGTAAATATAAATGAAAGTTTTTAGAGATGATTGAGAGATAACGCGACCGCTGATCCGCAAAAAAAATGATAAAATTTTTTATTTAAGTTTACAGAAATGATTGCAGTATATTATTGACATTCAATAAGTTATTATCGATTTTTCCACCTTGACAAAGAAATTCGTCGTTTCAAATAGTCGCAAATCAATTATATGCGGTTCAGCTGTCTTGTAATCAATTGAAGTTATGAATTGCATCATTGAGCGCTATAATAATTAAATTTTTAATTTCTTACCTTATTTACCCATTCTATATCCGCACTTTCATTGAGGGCCTCCTCTGGGCCGTAATCGGCCAAAACCAGATCTCCCTTGAGGCTCTGTTTCCGCCCCAACATCATAATAGGAATTATATTCGCAATGGTGAAGCCTAAAATTGATTGAAGTAATAAATTTTTTTTTAATTTTTGCAAAATTGACATTTACGTTTAATTAAATGAATAAATTTATCACCGATTAAACATTGAGAAATATAAATAAAATGTATAGCGTTGATAATGATATTTAGTGGGATTTAGGAGAAAATTAATTTCTTAGATGAGGTAAAAGTCATACGAGTTTTATACTAAATACATTATCTCTTGTACTGCTGAAATTAATAGTTACTAGGATGGTGTTAATAAATATTTATGAAAATTAAACTAACTCTAATGCAGGAGAATCAATTATAAAGTTTAGAAATTTAAATTAAAGGTGAAGTCAAAAAATGAAAGTAACAATTAATCCTTACAAAAAAAAGATTTATATCCATTTTTTGAACTCTTGATTCCATCCATCAACCAAAATAAAAAAAATCTCAATTGTAAATTCAGGATAAAATGTTTAAGGTACAAAAAATTTTAGTAAAAAATTAATTAAAAAAAAAAAATTATCACCTAATCAGAATCCAAAACTAAAATTTGAATCAATCATATTTATTAATATTGAGAACACAGTTATAAGCATGTAATTTGAAATTTTTTTTTTGGGGCCAATATAACACTGTGTATTTACACTAAATTAATCAGTAAATAATTAAAGACTGTTTTGCTTAATTAAACCATAAATACATCAGTTAACACAAAATTTGAATTAATTCTTTTCATACACTATTTTACATTTAGGTATTGTTTAGCACATAGTAATCATGCAAATAACACATAAAAATTATTTTTGCGTAATATTTATAAATGCGACAAAACAAAATAATTAATAATTATGATACTCAATATTATAGAATTACTAATATTGTTAACTATATTAAACTAATTATTTGATCTGTACCTAAGATTATTCATTTTACTCATTGGTAAGATATGAAATTGTAAATGTAAATATCTACGTGTAATAATTAGAACAATTTACTGTATTATATACGTTATTTACGACAAAATAAAGAATAATAAAACACACATACAATTTGATTTTTTTTCAAACATTAAACACGATACTCACGTCCCCACGACTTTAATTTTGCTCTTTTTATCGTGGTTAAACAAGCTGAAAAATTTTTCAATATTAAACATTTAATGTAAATAATATTTATATTTTAAACACTTAATTAAAATCCTTTTAAAATCTTTTGTTGCAAAAATTGTTGTAATTACTCGAGATTCAGTAATTATTTGCTGTCAGATAAATTTTTTTTTTTAAATAATTTTTAAATTGATAATTCAGCAATCCATTTTTTAAATCTGTGTTTTACGTATTTTTAACTGATAAATTTAGGAATGAATGGAAGTTATGAAATTTAATCATAAAAAAAAATTTGATAGAAAGATTTTTGGTGAAAAAAGTTATAGTTGAGTATCGAAATGTAAAAATCGTAAAATAATAGTACTTACTTTTTTTGACAGCTCAGAGGACGAATTAATATGCCCTTAAGGCTGTTACTTATAAACTACATTTCAGATAAAGCAAATTAATTATTAACGATTGATAAACATTTTTTTTTTTTATAACAAACAGGCGGCATGGCGTTAAACAATCGTATGAGATCCGACTGATCGTGTCGTGCGTTTCACAACCAGCTGAGAATCATCCCTGAGCATGTGCTGTAGCATATAACTTTCATCTCACGAGGAATCAATATTTCAAGGGAGTTGAGCCAACGATACGTGATTCTGAAAGACCTCAGTTGTTATCTTGGCCAATAGATATCTTCCTTATCTTCCTTTTTTTTCAACGCATTTATTTTTCATATTTTTGATTTACATTTTTTGAATAAAACCATCAATCAAAATAAATATCATAAATTACAACGTACTAAATTAACAATTAACAATTTAAATAAACTCTGACTTATAAGTAGTAATTATAAAAATTCTTAGTATATACTTAATGCACGTAACCATTCCAAGTGCAGGACAGATTAATTTAAACAATTATTTTCACTCAATTATTGTTTATACATCCGAAGTATTTTTAGAGTTAAAAAAATTAAATTGAAATGGAGGATCTTAATGCTTTTTGGTTAAAAAATCACACAAATGAGAACCAACTATTGTAAAATACATTAACAAGCATAAATATTCTAAGAATTCATAAATAGTTTAGCAATTTATCAAATTTTAAAAACGCTCTCGACTGTTATGTGTAGTTCAGTGAAATCTTTGTAAAAAGTTCAATATTCTTCATCTTCTTCAGTATTAACGGCGTCCTCTTGAACTTCACGATAGTCAAGTTCAAGAGCAGCTAAATCTTCTCTTGCTTCGGCAAATTCACCTTCTTCCATCCCTTCACCAACGAACCTATAGTATGAAAAAACAATTCTAGTAAATATTTGAATGAAAAATTCACAAATAAGTTTGCTTTCTAATCGATAATTTCAAGTTGAAAAAATGAGCTTTCATGAACCTAGGTGAGCTTAATTCAATTTTTGTTTAAATGGGCGTAAGCTCGTGTATAGCTTTATGGATGTATTTTTAAAATTTTAGAATCAATAAATAAGTAAATAGAAATTTTCATTCTTTTAAATTCCTCCTTTTATGGAGAATTGACATTGTCAACTGTTTTCAATTTTTTAACTAGGGAATACATGGTATTTTGCTCTGCACAGTAAAAAATTTTGCGTCAATGTGTCAAAAATTTTTGTGTTAAATATTTAACACTTTTATGTGTAAATTTAACATTTATTCTTTTAAATCAACACAAAAAAGTGTTAAATATTTAACATAAAAATTTTTAACACAAAATTTTTTTACGCAATGACGCAAAATTTTTTACTGTGTGAACTTATGCGTATACTGATGATGAAAAAATTTTGATTTAGTATATTCAATATTATATCAACTAGTAGATAATAATTGATTAAATAATTCAAACACTTTATTATATCAATACGCTGAATGCTATTAAACATAAACAACACCATACAATTTGATGGAAAATTCAAAGGTGACTATGGTAACAGTGAGTATAGCAAGTAATAGTGATAATGATAACAATACATGTACTGTATAGTATCATCAAGCATCATATTATTCTCACAGTTGAATTAAGTTTTTCAGTGAGCAAAATACCGATATTATAATTATCGCAATATGTATTTTGACCACAACTAAACTGGTTCGATATAGTACTTTGTATTTTGATAGGAATCATACTTTGTTTTCAGTGCACTCTTAACTTATTAGAAAAATGTGAAGAAAGAGAACATTCAATATATACAAAAATAATAGACTAATAAAGTATTACCAATGAACAAAGGCTCTTTTAGAGTACATCAAATCAAATTTATGATCAATTCTAGCCCAAGCCTCGACAATCGCAGTTGTATTACAAAGACAACAGACTGCCCTTTCTGTTTTTGCTAAATCACCTCCTGGCACAACTGTAGGTGGTTGATAATTTATTCCTACCTGTAATCATTTAATTCAGATAATGGTTCAAAAAATGAAAATAATTCGCATTAATAATTATCACTTACTTTGAAGCCCGTAGGAGACCATTCCACAAACTGAACATGCTTTTGCCGTTTAATCATAGCAATCGCTGCATTTACATCTTTAGGAACAACGTCTCCGCGATAAAGCATGCAAACAGCCATGTATTTTCCTTTTCTAGGATCACAATTAACCATTTGGTGATTTGGTTCAAAACATGAAGTCGTAATGTCGGCAACCGTCGATCGTTCATGTCCAGCTTTGTCTCCTGATAAAACCGGCGCATACGTGGCCTTAAATTAATTGTAATAACATAAATAACAACAAATTTGTTCAAGGTCACAATTAGTGTATAGTATTATCCAATCTTGTTAAAACTTACGAGAGGAAAATGTATACGCGGGTAAGGAACTAAGTTAGTTTGGAATTCTGTAAGATCAACGTTCAAAGCTCCATCGAATCGAAGACTTGCTGTAATTGAAGAAACTATTTGACCAATTAATCTATTCAAATTTGTGTAAGTCGGTCTGTCGATACTCAAATTACGTCTGCACAATTCGTATATCGCCTGCAAAAAAAATCATCAATTTATTGAATAAACCAGCAACCTGCAGTCACTATGTGACTACCGAGAATTACGGATTATGAATAAAAAACATTGATTTAATGATTTTTCGATATTTTTATCACAATATAAATAATATCGGAATTTCAAAATAAATTAGAGTAATTAGTGAAACGGTTGACCCTACAGGTCATCTCTGTAATTTCCTGCTAATTCAAAATACAAAGCACTCCAACTTTCACCTGTTACAACGTTTTTAAGCTCTTCGAGCTCAAAAGTCTAGTTTGTATTCAGTTAAACACTTTTTAGAAAATATTTGAGCTGCAATAACTTTCGGACAAATCATCCGATTCTAGAACTATTGGCGGCATTGATCATCAGAAAGAAGTCCGATATGATAAATAATTGAAAAATTTTTGATTGAAACTGTTGATTTAATAGAATAAATGTTAAATTTACACATAAAAGTGTTAAATATATAACACAAAATTTTTTGACGCAATGACGAAAAATTTTTTACTTTGTATATTTTGTTGATTTTGCCGGTTTGCGGTAATCTACGCAGTTTTTTGAGCTTAACAAAAACATCTCCTACGAAAAAATTGATTTGACGAAAATTTTTCAAATTATTTAGAAAAAACAATTTTTTGATATTTCTTTTAACAACAATATCCCTTGAACGATCCAGCCAATTTTAATGCACTTTGCGGCAATCAACGTCATTTTTTGAGTGGAATTTTATTTTATAAATAGACCGAAAGCAAAATTTTCCTTATTATTTTCATGATGTAGATTTTATAAAAAACTAAATAATTTTTTGTGTTATGGTTTACGAGTATGTTTAACGTTATTCATATTTACCTGGTTATCGACAATAAAAGCGACCTCGCAGTGTTCAAGGGTAGGGTGTGTGTAAAGTATAGCATTGTATGGCTCAACCACCGCCGTAGAGACCTAGGATAATTATTTGTTTTAAAAATCTAATTACGATTGATAATCCAACTTAAAAAAATAACTGTTATTTTAACTTACTTGAGGTGCGGGGTAGATACTGAAAGACAATTTACTTCGCTTAGGATACTCCACGGATAATTGTTCCATAAGTAAACTTGAGAAGCCTGAACCTGTTCCACCACCGAATGAATGAAAAATAAGAAATCCTTGGAGACCTCGGCATTGTTCTGTTATTCTCCGAATTCGGTCTATTGTCAAATCGATTATTTCTTTTCCTACATCATTCATAAGTTTATAGTAAGTTGTTGGTTAATTAATTAATTACTGAAAAAATTTACCAGTACTGCTTAATTATACCTATTGTGTAATGCCCTCGAGCGTAGTTATTCGCAGCATCTTCTTTTCCTGTTATTAATTGTTCGGGATGGAATAATTGACGGTATGTACCAGTCCTTACTTCATCTAAGAAAATAGATAAAAAAAAAAATTATAAAATGATTTAGTAACAAATTCCTTAGTAGATAGTTAAGAAATTAACTCTAATTAAATTTTTTTTTACTACACATTTCTTCAATAACTTCCAAATAATTGACGTGTGTTTGTATTGCCTAAAAACTATTCTGAACTATCAATTAATTCAATGTTGGATAAATTGAGTAGTCATCAAAAATTGTTCTTCTAAAAGTAGGATTAATTGGAGTAGTAGAATAATTTATGTTTTTATATATCTGTCTGTCTATTTGTCTATCCGGTTGTCGTGAAGGTAGCTCAGCAGAAGTTCGTAAATATTAGGTCAAGTGTGACATTTGAATGGTATACCCCTGATGTTATTAATAACAATAACTGTAAGTGGTGATTTATGTGTTACGACTATAAGAAAAATTAGTCTCTTACAATTTTCATTAAAAAATAATTCTTCGTGTATTTGTTTAATAATTATGCGTCTTTTCTTATTTTTTTTAACTTGCCGCTAAGAAAATTGAAAATTTCAAAAACCGGGAAGTTATTGTTCTTACCCCGTTTATGTGTGTGTGTATGTGTGTGTGTGTGTGTGTGTGTGTGTGTGTGTGTGTGTGTGTGTGTGTGTGTGTGTGTGTGTGTGTGTGTGTGTGTGTGTGTGTGTGTGTGTGTAAACCTCTTATAACTTGGACCGATTTTATAACTTGGACTGATTCGGATCGATATATTTTGAGAAATCTTAAAAAAACTGCGAAAAAAAATTTTTTCAAATGTGGTTTTTTTTTTAATAACTTTCAAACGGCTCAATCAATTCCAAAAACTAATCAGCTCTTAACATCGAAAAACCACGTCGATCGCCACCAAGCCGGTCAAAATCGGTTGATTCATTCGTGAGTTATCGTTGATGAAAGAAATTGAAAAAAAGTGTTTTTTTTCAAATTACACCAAAATTTCCGGTCTGATCAATTTGTGTTTAAAAATATATCATAGAATTTGAAAAACTGCGTCGAATGCCGCCAACTGCGTGAAAATCGGTTCATTCATTCAAAAGTTATTGCGGTTTAAAAATTAAAAAAATAGTGTTTTATTCAACTCCTATCAGACTTTTGAGCTCGGAGAGTTTAAAACTATACGAAAATTATATTTTTGAGCTCGAAGAGCTCAAATACGTAATAAGTACAATTTTGAGTGCTTAATTAAGAAAGTAGCGGGAAGTTGCAGGCATGGCCTTCAGGGTCAACCGTTTTCCTAATTTTTTTTTTTTAATTTTCCACTATGAAAGTTGACGACTTTCCAAAATTAGAAAGTTATTGATTACACCCCGATTTTCGAAAATCGAGTTCTTATCAAATCTCAACGTTTTGAGGTCCTCGGAAGCAGTTTTGACTATTCATATGAGGATGTCACTGTGTGTGTGTGTGTGTGTGTGTGTGTGTGTTTTTGTTATTTATGACATTCCAAAAGGTCCTACCAAACTTAGATTCCGTACGAATTTGAAACGATTCGGCTCCATAGATTTTGAAAAATCTCAACAATAAAATTTTCAAAAAAAATTGTTTGGAATCACTTCTAAATCGCTTTACCAATCGTTTAAACAATCTAATCAGCTGTTAACTTAAAAAAAAAACACCGCAAATTCATAAGAAATGCATAGAAATCGGTTAATTTCTTTAGGAAATATCGTTGATAACAAATTTCAGAAAAGTATTGTTTTAGTATAACTTCAAATTTTCTCGTCGAATCATTGAGAAGGTTTAAAATAATCTTCTTTGCTCAAGAAACTGCGTGAAATGCCACAAGCCGCATAAAAAACAATTGATTTATTCGAGAGATAACGCAGTTCAAAATGTTAAGTTAATTTTTTTTTTTTTCATCATATGAAGAATATATTACAAAAATGTATTTTCATATTTTTTTTTTATTTTTTATGCTTTACAAATAATTCATTTTTTATAAAAAAAAAAATTATCAATTTCTTTTAGCTTGGTGATTACTAAAGTAAAACTGTATGGGTTTTATATAGAATAAAACTGTACAAACTAAATGATTGAAGTTGCTGATTTCGACAAAAACGTGATATTTATTATTAATAAGCTAAAAATGATATACTAAACGACATTTATTACTTCTGATTTATTTCAATAGTTAGCAAACAACTGATTCATAAAATTGATAATTAAAATAAAAACTTGCCTACAACTGTGGGTTCAAGATCAATAAAAACAGCCCGTGGTACGTGTTTACCACTATCACTCTCGGAAAAAAATGTATTGAAAGAATCGTCTTCCTTATCGATCGTTTTATCACTGGGCATCTGGCCGTCAGGATGAATCCCATGTTCAAGGCAGTAGAGTTCCCAGCAGGCGTTGCCCATTTGAACGCCCGCTTGTCCTATATGTATCGATATACACTCCCGCTGCATGAGCATAAACATTGAACATTAAACATTGTATTAGATAAATTTAAAGACACGCTAATTCAAGTATAATTATACACAACTTATCGTAGCATGAAACAACCAAAATACCTTCTTAGCCCATTTATTACCAATGTAAGCCATTACTATTTTTTGATAAATTTATAATACAAAAAAAAAATAATTATAGTGTATGATGATATTACTCCTATCAGGAAGAGCGTTATGAAAACGTTTGTCCCTCGTTTCGAGGCTGACTGATGACACTACATAAGTTTAAATTTCTAGACCCTGATGGTAAGCCTTACGACAGTTTTATATGCAAGAATAAGTTAAGTAGTTGACTACCTACGCCTTGAACTAGCGAAGCGGGTTATTAAAAATTGATGAGCTACTCTGCCAGCAAATAACGATACATGCTATATTTCTAATGCAGGTTGTCCTACAGTAGATATTAAAGTCCTTGTTTGCCTAGCGTGACTAGAAAACAATCGATTTTAAAGCTTGTAAACTGTAACCATAGTAGCTTCATGAATTCATAAATTATTGATAAAAATATTTTTTATTCTCGTTTATTAATATTAATTTTGTGATTTATTCATTAATAATAGACCGAAAAATAGAAATATTTTTATTTTTTTAAAATCATAAAAATTTTGAGGCATAATTGCACATTGTTATTTTTATTTTCTAGAATTTGATTAGTGTCAAGGCATAAGTCATTTGACAATTTTAGGTACTATGTTGTCCAAAGCTTTAAGAAAATAATAACAAAAACTTTCAGTATACATTTTTAGTAAAGTTCAGAATTTTATTTAGTAAATTATCGTTGTAAGTTATATTGATCAGTAAGATATAATTTTTTTTAATTTTATTTACACAGAATTCTACAAAATTTTTCTAATTATTATTTAACTTATTTTGGTGAAAGTTTGTTATATACCAGAAGAAAATAAGTTATTTATAACCATTTATGATCATGGATAGGTTTTAGGCATGTCTGAATTTTTTTAATCAAATTTGGACTCATACAATCGTACGGACGTTTTTAATTATAAATTATGAAATAAATTAATCGTTGTAATGATTTAATTTAAATTATAATTAAGTCATTATCAATATTTATATTTTTTATACTACTTAATTTTTGAAATTCCCATTTCATTTTTTATCATACATGTTCATCTATTGCTATTTATAATTTTATGTAATTTGTACATCGTAGAAAAATTTTTTAAACAAACTTTACCACAGAATCAATTATAATCCAAATTTAATTATTACAATGATTTATTTATTTAAAAAAAGTAATTAAAAATTTTTTAATGCTTATACATCCAAAGCTGATCATTGGTCATTGATCATATATTTTTAGCCTACTGTAATATTGCTAAAAAATTAGTTAAATATTTTATTCAGTAGTCAAAAATCGTATTTTTAATGTTAATTGAATGGGAAATAGAATTTTTAGTTTTGTAATTTTTTTTTATCACGATAATATTTATTTATAATAAGCTTAACTTGATCTATTATCTACTTATAAAAAAAAATAGATGTTTACACGATGTAAGAAGTTTATAAATAAATAATGAAAGTGTATAGTCTTCGACGAGTAATTACCTAAAACTTTTTGATAGTTTCCGGACTACTATGTAATTTTATAGATTGATTCAAAGTCGATAAACATGCTTGTGTTCATAATATGATAATATAAAAACATTTAAAGATTGTTTATAATTTTTAACATCATGAAGTATAAAGTAAGTATAGTAAAAAAAAATGGAAAAAGCTTACCATAATGGAACTGTTTAATTGATAGGGTTGATACTTTCAGGTGCGAACGCGGCTAACGACTGACCAGTAGAAAGTAGACAGTAGTTAGTGCTTAACTATACTACTATTTTTTCATATTCATAGAGGATGCTTCTATAATACCAGGTGGAAGGTTTACGATTCGCAAACTATAGTATCAGCTTTTATGCTAGTAGAGCAATGGACATCTATATATTCATTCACATTAATCGATCGTTCCATGCATATCACTGACATTCCATATAATAAATTTTGTCTTATAAACGTATTATGAATGTTTATTTATAAAACTAAATTGTAAAATTTTTACTCATTACGGATAACTTTTTATCTTAAAAATTAGAGTTTTTAAAAATTGGATTATGACTTGAAGATTTGAAGGAATATTGAAGAGAAAAGTAATTTAAATATTTTTTAACTTGAGTGAAAATATATTTGTCAATTGATGATGTAACTTTAATGAATTTTTAAAAACGATAACAAGATATAACAGTTTTTGAATATCATCGAATCCAAAGTAGGAGAGAAAGGGGTCAATTGAACCAAAAAAAGTTTAGTAATTTTTTACTATTCGAATCAAAACTAAATAAGAATTTTTTTCTCTTGGGATCGTAGTTTATTAAGTCTACTATCATTATCAATACATAAATTAGTCAATAAACAACGTGAATTTAAAAAAATTATTAATTTATCCAAACGCGTCAAATGGTTCAATTGACCCCCGCTTGGGGGCAATTGAACAATTGCTCGGGGTCAATTGAACCAATACTATTTAAAACTCAAACCCGAATTTTTAATAAATAACATATTAATTGTTACTTGCTAATACTACTGTTGCACATTTTTAATACACAGATATTATATTAAATAAATTAAAAATCAATTTAAAAATAATTTTCATTAAAAAATCAGTTCATCAAATTATTAAGTTATTTCCCTGAGTATTTTTCACGTAGAGTCGAGGTACGCGCGCATGTCCCATGCTTCTCCGTATGGTTCAATCGTCCCCGGGACTGCTGGTTCAATTGACCCCATATAATTTTTAAACAATTAATAGTAAATAATAAATAAATAAACTATTATATCGCTATAAACGAAGTTGAGGATTATAAAGTATAAGAATATACAACTACTACAATTCAAACTTTGTCAATTAATTAAAAAAATAGATATATTATTAAACAATTTTACACCAGCTGAAAAAAAGTTTACATGCCTAAAAATAAGAAAATCTCAATTTTTCAAAATTTATTAATCGCAATGATTTCAAATTTTGATCATATCCGAGTTTAACATAATAGAATCTAATTCTGAGAGCATAAAACGTTTTTTCAATTTTTTAAGTCAAATGGTTCAATTGACCCCTTTCTCCCCTACTGATAACTGCAGTAATATAATGAAAAATATTACGATTGGTTTTTATCAATTAAATTTTACACATCCAATTATCAAAATAATTTTTGCGGCTAAAAATGAAGTTGTTTAAGAAGTAAAAAAAAATTTTTTTAATCAATTAATCTGATCTGAATCCACAAAAATTTACGATTGATATAGATCAGGCAGTATATTTTCAGCTTTACTACTATCAAAAAAAGCTGCAAAGTTGTAGAAATTTGAAAATTTTTATTTCCAGAATTATAAAAACTTTTATCTGTCATATTCATTAAGTTCACAAATGTTGTTAATTATTGTATTGTTTTCCAGAGCTTGAAAAAGTCTTAAGAATAAAGACGAAACGTTGCAAATCAATGATTGTTTAAATTGATTTAACTGTAATTTTTCAATTACCCGCGATCCTGATCGTATTGTTATTTATTTAACTGGAATAGAACCGTATTAAAAAATGAATTTAAAAACAATTTTCAAAAAAATGATTGTTGTAAGAAATTTTCAAAGATTTGGAAATCTTTAAGAATTCTATTAAGATCTATACATGTATAGATTTTACTATAATTTATTAGATATAATTAGATCGGAATTATTACTTTTTATTCAAATAATTCAATAAATACATTTTGAAATCCCGATTTTTTTTTTTTTTTTTCAAAGAAGTTATAGGCTTTTCTCAACTGTCCAATCACTATCAGAGTAATATGATATTGGGCGGACTTGTGATACGCATTTCAAGCACGCCCACATAAATATCGTATTGTGCTTGATTATTGATTTACGATCACACTGCAGTTTGTGACTGATCTCAGAAACAAAAACATCATTCGAAATGTTTCTAAAAATTTTCTAGAAAACGTTAATTTTTTCTTTTATGTAACTGTGCATACTTTCTTTAATAATGAACGTTAAAGTAGTGTCGTTGATATTGTTATTATGTAAACCATTGTGTGATGCTTGGATGGACGAAAGGTTTTAAATACTAGACAATTTTATAAAATTAAATTATAGAAATATTTAACATAACTTAAAAAAAATTTATTTTAGGCCTGTATTGGAGTCTATTGATGGAAATCTCATTATTTCAAGTGCAAAGGATAGAAATATTACCATAAAAATTTTAGGACGCGGATACTTTAATGTCGAGGATATCGATCTGCTAAAAGTTGCCATTTCGGTAAACTCATTCTCATTTTCTTCTTTTTTATCATAGTTGCGAATGATTTTTGATTTTTCTAATAACTTTTGGTTTAACATTACAGGCAAGAAGTGCCTCGTATTTAGTCGAACAATGGCGTGATGGGTTTTTGAAAGATTTAGTTGACAAAGTTAGAAAAGTAGACCATGCAATCAATGGTCCCCTTGGATTACAAAGGCGTATGAATATTATAGAATATGGTTCCGATGGATCAAATTCTAGTTCTCGAGTGCCAAGTCCTTCTGCTGATGTAATAAAATTTAACTATTTTTCATACACACAGAAAAAAAAATCAACGAAACAAGGAAATCATTTTGAAGAATGTTTTGATTTGAATAGAAAAATTTTTTAACTGAAATTTTTTTTGATTTAAGTAAATGTTACTTGATTTAAAAATTTTTCATCTTCATTCAAGACAATGGAATTCTTTAAAATGATTTTCTTGGTTCAAGAATTTTTCGATTGATTCAAGTTCATTTTTTTTTCAGTGCTGAATAAAATAGTCAGAAAATAGTACTACTGTTAATTGAAATCCAGTTTAGTTAGTTATTTCAACTACTCATCAATTCAGTAGTCAAAACTGATTTTTTTGTTCTGTACACTCTATTATTTTTCAAAAGATATATATTTAAATTGCATAAAATTTTCTTTAGAATTACGAAATCGATGATGCAACAAGAGTTGCTGTTCGCAGGCTTAGTGATCGTGTGAGTTTCAATTTTTTTTATTTAAAGAAATCATTCAACTTTCCAGCACAAATAACTTACTGTCCATTAACGATAGGTTCGACGATTAGAGGGACGAGTTCGATCAATATCATCAAAATTGCGGCAGAATCAATGTTCTAGTAACCCATGCTTAAATGGAGGAACTTGCATACCAATTTACGATGGATTTCAGTGTCTTTGTCCTACTAATTGGGAGGTAAAATTCAATTTAAAAAAAAAGTCAACCAATTGTCTAAATCGATAAATTTTCTAAAGGGTACCAATTGTGCAATGGACGTAAATGAATGCACAAGATTCATCGGCACAGATTTAGGTTGCCAGAACGGAGCAACGTGCACAAACCTTCCTGGATCATACAGGTTTGTTCGCGTCACTTTGATTCATTTCGACAACGGAGGTCTTTTATTACCATCATTGCGATTGTGATTAACGAAATTTATTTCAGCTGTGCATGCCCATCGGGTTGGTATGGAGTCGATTGCACTTCGAACACAGCCGTTTGTAACGCTCAAGACTCTCACAAATTATGTGGTGATCACGGTACATGTGTGGCTACTGGCACAACCCGCGGTTACACATGTATCTGTGATCAAGGATGGAAGTCGAATGGAGATGACCCTGCATGTAAAATAGACGTGAACGAATGTGAAGCGAGGCATCCTCCATGTTCAATGCAACCATATGTGCCTTGCATTAATGTACCTGGAGACTTTTATTGCGGTAGTTGTCCTGCTGGTTACACTGGAAATGGGCACTATTGTGCTGATATCGACGAATGCTCAACAGACAATGGTGGTTGTAGTATTGTGCCAAAAGTCCAATGCATCAATACAATGGTAATTTTAAAATCATCAATTTTTTATTATTAACAAGTACCATGCTTATATCAGCTTGACATGTACCTTCGTAATATAATCTTTAAACGTAATTTTCACGAAACTAAAAGAACTCGAATTGATTTAAAAATTTGCACCCATATTAGGAACTGGTAACAATACAATAATTTATTAAATTTATCTTAATATCCACATTAAATAGATGTTAATTAATGTTACGCGTTAAAAGTATATCATTTATACAATTACAGTGAATAATATCCTTTTGATTCAGTTAATTCAATACTACAATCTGAAGCTTTTGATTGGTAATATTTTACCAAAAAATTAAAAAATAAATCACAGTTCTAAACAACTAAAAAATACCGTTGATAATTATTTAAAAGTGGGGTCAACCCCATTTTGGGCCATAACTAAGTGAAAAATTAACATTTTCAAATTTTTTTAAAATTCTGCTTGTTTTTACGGCGCATATATGATGAAAAATATCTTGAAAAGAAAAAATAAAGATTTCAATAGCTTGTTTGCCTGTAAAAGTTGGAAAAAATTTTGGCTCTCATGTTTTTGGATAAAATTTCTATTTTATCTTTTTTTTATGTTTTTGATATATATTTTTTTTTTTGAAAAGTACATAAAGAAACGAACAATTTAAAAAAAATTTGGTCAACTTGATAAAAAAAAAAATTTAACATGGGCTAGCATGGGCTGAACCCACTTGTAAATAATTACCGAACCGTTTAATAGCAAACCAAACTAAAAAGTAGAAATTAATTTTCAATAAGTTTAAATTTAAAATAGTGATTATGATTAACAAAGAAATTCATATTATTGCATAGAGAAAAGTTGGGTGCTTCTAAACATATTTTTGTAAGAACTATCTACCGATAATATGCTTACAATGATTGATATCAAAGCACCCTACATTTTTTTTTACAATAGAATGAATTTTTTTGATAATTACTCTATTCTATTTTTATACTTATCAAAAACCATTTTCCACTTTTTAGTTTGGTTTGCTATTAAACTGCATTTTTTAGTTTTCTAAACTAAAATTTATTATCAATACAAATTTATGAATCATGATTTTATTGAACCGTCTAAATTAGGGATCAAGAGTATGTGGGTCCTGTCCACCTGGCTATCAAGGTGATGGAGTCACATGTGTATTCATCGGAACTTGCAGAATCAATAACGGAGGTTGTCACCCACTTGCTATTTGCATCGATAATCCTGGGTTCAACAATCTTCTTGTAGAGTGTCGCTGTCCTACTGGCTACCACGGTAGTGGAATCGGCCCTCAAGGATGTCAACCAGGCACTGAAGTTGATCAGGGACCTTGTGCTAGTCATCCATGTATTCATGGTCACTGTATACCGCACGACCTTAGCTTCATTTGCAGATGTGATCCTGGATATACTGGTAAAATAGCCTTTTAATATAATTTTTTGCTTGAGTTGATGAATCAATATTTGTCATACTGATCATTGATTTGTACAATTAAGGAATTACTTGTGCTACTCCAATCAACCCATGTTCTCCAAATCCATGCAAAAATGACGGAATTTGCATGCTGACAGCTGATCAACAAGTATCATGCGAATGCACAGCTGCTTATTCAGGCCCTCGGTGTGAAACTCCAAAAGAAACTTGTGGAGGCGTAATCCGTGATGTAGCAGGAACTCTAACATATCCTCCAAATGGTGTTACTTATGGTCACGGTCTCAGCTGTGCTTATATTTTAGCAACGAATACATCATTAGTACTCAACGTTACCTTCACACAGTTCGATTTGGAATCAACCCCTGGTTGTCGTCATGACTTTCTTCAGGTACTTTTTTAATACTTTATCCAACCATCAACAAATAAACTGATTTCGGAAGCATCGTTTTTCGTTTCAAAAATATAGATACACGATGGAGGAAACGCTGGTAGTCATCAAATTGGAAGATTTTGTGGAAAAAATTTACCGATGAATGGCAACATCATTTCTACTCACAATAGCATATACTTATGGTTCCACACGGACAGCAGCATTTCTCGAACTGGATTCTCCCTTCATTGGAATAGTATACCACCTGTTTGTGGCGGACATTTACACGGTAAGAAATGTATAATAATTACCACCGAATGATTGTAAAATTCAGAATACTGATATGATAGTAATCGGTATCATAATGATTGTAATGATTATAATCTTAGAGTTTATATTTGTAATGCATGATAGTAATAGCTACCATCGCAGATTAATACTAAACCTGATAACATGATAACCATAACTATTACTGTTTTTACATTAGTTTTTTTCCGAAATTTCAATTTTTATATGAAATTTGAATTTTTTTCAAGTAAATGTTTTTCATACTGCCAAAAAAAATTGTTTTTCAAGATTTCATACTGACAAAAACAATTTCTCTTAAAATTAAAATTTTCTGCCCTCCGGCTGGAAAGTGGCAACTTTCTGGCCGTTGCGCTAAACAAAGTTGCCACATTCCGGCTACGTCGAGCAGAAATAGTATATTACATACCTAGGCCAGTAAAATAAGAAAAGTCTCAGATCACATGTAATTGTTGGCCGAGGCGAAGCCGAGGTCAACAAACATGTGGTCTGAGGCTTTCTTATTTACTTCCCGTGGAGTGTATACTATTTTTTTGCTCAACGAAGGCAGAAAGGGGCAACTTCGTTTAGCGCAGCGGGCCGAAAGTTGACGCTTTCTGCCCGTCGAGCAAAAAAATAGTATACACACCTTGGCCAGTAAAAAGTAAAACCTCAGACCACATGTTTGTCAACCTCGGCTTCGCCTCGGCCAACAATTACATGTGATCTGAGACTTTTCTTATTTTACTGGCCTAGGTATGTAATATACTATTTATTTATTCTTAAAAGAAAAAATGTTTATCGATTGCGATGGTAAATATTGTCAGCGGTAATGAAAACAATTGTTATATTTTGTGTATGTGGTTACTATCCCAGATGACAATAAATACTATCTATTCTTGTTATATTATTCGGGCATGGTAATATTTACCGATTTTAGTCTATAAAATCGATGTCAAAAATAATAAAATTTTCATCTAAGATATCAATCATTAAAAATGAACGATAATAATTACTATCATAAATTTCTGAATATACAGAAAATGAACACGGAACGATTAGCTCACCTGGATCACCCGGAAGATACTCACCAAACAGAGATTGCACTTGGTATATTTCTGTTCGTACTGGAAAACGAATTCAATTCCACTTCTTTACTGTCATGATTGAGGAGCATCCAAATTGTGACATGGATTACCTTGAAGTATACGTCACTAATTTCAAAGATTATGACTTTTTCATACTAGCCAATTCATTCAGTATATTATTTTAATTTTTATTTTTCATTATAGATTACCGAACCTATTGATGAAAGAGACGTTCGACTGGGCATTTACTGCAATCATACCCACCCACCACCTCTCGTTACTTCTGGTTCTTTTGCAACCGTTCATTTCCACTCAGATGAGCATGGTCAAGATTTAGGATTTCAACTTACCTATTCAAGCATCGAAGGTAATAGTAATTGAAACAATAAAATTTGCATGACATGACAAATTTTAACAAAATTCTTAATACTTTAAAATAGATATAGTACCCGTAAAAAATTTGCTGATATGGCCATGTATTTTCATTCGTCATATATGGCCTGATTTGATCGTATATAGCCATATTCGGCTATATATGATAATTTTAAAAAATCAGAAAATTTTTTACGGATGTATTCACTTTATTGCTTAACAACAAAATCAAATTACTTTATCAAGGGATGCCTGGCTGTGGAGGAGTATATACTGCGGAACAAGATTTTATTTCTTCCCCAACTGACAAATCAACTTATCTGCCTAACTTGCTATGCGAGTGGAAAATCCAGCTACCAGTTGGTGAAAGGATTAGAATTACTTGGATTGATTTTGATATTGAACATTCAGATCGTTGTATATTTGATTCCGTCCAGGTGACGATATTTGGATTTTATTTTTTTTTAATTTTATCAAAAAAAAATAATTGTTTAGATAAGATGCTTTATCTATTTTTGGCCAGAAGAAATCGAAAAATTAACTTATTTGACTTTTTTTTTTATTTTGTTCGTCTCCGTAGCGGATTATGAATTTGCATTCCAAAATTATAAAATGGTATATTGTGCAACTAGTGGAGTAAGTTTTTGATTGCCTACGAGAGCAAAATTACTTCGTGCGATCAAAGTGAATGCGCTTATTCGCTCCAGTGGGGAGATAAGTTCCAGCAAAAATTTATAATACTTATCATGATTTTAATTTTTTTATGAATTTTTGAAAATTTTGAGATTCGATGAACAATTTAGAAGTGATAAGATAATTTTTTGATATTTTTCAAATTTATATCATATTTTGCATTAGAAGTAGAATAGTTAAAAAAAAAATTTATTTGATACGTAAATTTTTCGAATTTTCACAATATTGAGTAATATACTATAATGGAACCCAGTCGCACCCGAAATTGTTAAAATTCGAACAACTTACGTATCGATAAACTTTTTTTTAACTTTTTTATTTTTGATGCAGAATATAAAATCCCTACTTCCCTACTAATATTATAAATGTGAATGTAAGTTTGTTTATTACGCTTTCACGTAAAAACTACTTAACCGATCATCATGAAACTTTGTACACATATTCTTGGAAGTATTAGAATTAACATAGGATACTTTTTATGAAAGAAAAACATTTATTTTTTACAAAAGATAAAAAAAATTGTTTGTCAAAAAATTAGAATCACATTGATTCAGTTCTATTGGAATGATCTTTGATATTTATCGAAGGGCTTCAACGCGAGCGAAGTAGCTAATGTATTATAAAAATATCAAAAAATTATTTTATCGCCTCTAAATTGCTGATCGAACGTCAAAATTTACTAAATTTTCAAAAATTCATAAAAAACATTTAAATCATGATATGAAATAATTATTTTTTATTAATTTGGACTGCATATTCATTAATCTGCCGCGAAGACCAGCAAAATAAAGAAATCGGATAAGTTAATTTTTCAATCTTTTTTAACAAAGGGAAAACGGTGGTCTCACATCTAATCAATAACCCAAAAAAGAGGCATAAAGATTGATTAAACTGTGCCAACAAATATTTTCATGTATTTCAGATCTATGAAGGACCAGATTTGGAGTCTCCGACATTGGGAAAACTTTGTGGCAATAAATTACCTGCACCGATAGAAATAAACTCAAATATTGCGCTAATAGTATTCAAAAGTGATTGGAGCAATGAAAACATCGGTTTTAAATTACAATACCAAATTGCCTGTGGTGGAGAATTTCACGAGCCATCCGGAATAATAAATTCGCCATACTACCCCGATCACTATCCAGGTTCTAGAACGTGTCACTATATGATTGTTCAACCTCCTGGTAGAGGGATCGTTTTGGAAATAGTTGACATGGATATTGAAGGTTCATCATTCGTTGACTGCTATTTTGACCATCTGGAAATCCATGATGGTGACAATGAAAACTCAACACTTCTTGCAAATCTTTGCGGTGAACCAGACAAAAGACCTAGTGAACCTTTTTATTCGTCTTTGAATTATATGTATCTTAAATTTGAAGCTGATGCGAGTATTCATGGTCGTGGATTTTTGGCAAATTATACCACTGTTTCCCGAAGTATATAAAGAGTTTAAAGATTTATTTGTCATAAATTGATTGGTTGGATTTTTGTGTAACGTAACTTTTTTCTGTTTAAGGATGCGGGGGGATTTTCAAAACTCCTCATGGAGAAATTCGTTACCCTATGGTTCCAGAAGAGTATGATAATGACGAAGAATGCACCTGGACGATTCAAGCACCTGCAGGACATGCGGTACAACTCACGTGGGAATCGTTTGATTTGGAATTTCATGATAAATGTTTAACCGATTACGTTAAACTTTTAGAAAAGTATGAAGGAGACAATTATGAAATTGGCAGGTAATTTATTCAAATTTTTACATTAGAGTAAAATTTTTAAATTATCAATTTTGTGTTCTTCATTTGAGAGCTATCAATTATTAATGCAAATGTTAATTTCTGGAATGATCTTTATTTATAAAATTTAGAGTAGTAGACCTTAAATTATTCAACAAAGAAATAATGATGACTTTAATTTCAGATATTGTGGTAATACAATACCGCCAATGATAACATCTCAAAGTTCATCAGTGACATTGGTTTTCATTTCTGACAGCTCAATTACTTCTGGAGGATTTGTTGCGAAATATTCGTTTGTTGATGTTTCTAAAGTTTGTGGCGGGCGTTATTTCTCTCTCAAAGGACTTCTAAGAAGTCCCGATTATCCTAACTATTATCCTCCAAATCGTGAATGTGTATGGATTATCGAAGCACAAAATAAATTCCGAATATTGCTGGAGATTAAAAAGTTTGAAATTGAATCACATAGCTACTGCGCGTATGATTACTTAGAAATTAGAAACGGTGGTTATGAAAATTCACCTTTAGTTGGAAAATTCTGTGGTAATGAGATACCGGGTGAAATAATGAGTTTCACTAATCAACTTTACATTAAGTTTGTTTCGGATGGTTCTAATGGCGATCAAGGGTTTGAAATCGAATGGGATAGCATGACTTATGGTATGTTTTCAATCTAATTCAACTGTACTAATCAAAAATAGTTAGATATAAAAAATGTATCATGTGTATGAATTAATTTTCCAACTCAGGTTGTGGTGGTGTACTTACGGCAGCTTCTGGAGATATTATTTCACCAAACTATCCTCATGTGTACTCAAGATCATCAGAATGTACGTGGAAAATCGCAGTATCGGCTGGTAGTCGTGTTCAAATAATAATTGTTGACCTTGATTTGGAAGAACATGTCCGATGTAATTTTGATTATCTTGAAATATCTGAAGGAGTCAATGGAATACGGAAAAATGTAAATCGATTTTGTGGAACTACTTACCCTCCTTCCATTGAATTAAACAGCAATTTAGTAACTGTACGCTTCCGAAGTGATTTTACCAATTCAGGACGGGGTTTTCACATTAAATATAATACACGTAAGAACAAATTTTTTGTTATACATTGTATAATAAAACTAAAAGTTAGTTCATCAATTATTTAGAAGCTATTTTTGCTGTAATCATAATGATTTAATTTTTTTTTTAGTTTGTGTCAACAAAATTCATGGTTTTTCTGGAGTAATTGAATCACCAAATTTTCCAGAAAAATATTCATCAAGTGTTAATTGCAGTTGGATAATTGATGCACCACTAGGCAATAAAATAAACATAACATTTTCACATTTCGATCTAGAATCATCTGTCGAAGAAGAATGTAAATATGATTATTTGTTGATAAAAGAGGGATCTGAAGACCAATTCAACACTCAATTAGGTAAATATTGCGATTCCAAACTACCGCCGAAAATAACTTCAAAAGAGCATCAAGTGTCAATTAATTTCCTAACCGATGAGTATTATGTATACGGAGGATTCAGATTAGAATGGGTAGTTGTAGGCTGTGGAGGTCACTTAACAAGACCTACAGGAGAGTTTACATCACCTGGCTATCCAGCTGCTTATCCGGTTAATATAGAATGTGAGTGGTTAATAGAAATCGATTATGGTAACAGCGTTGAAGTGTTTTTCTCAGAAGTTGATACGGAAAAATCAGGAGGTTGTTTTTACGATAAAATAGAACTTTTTGGCGGCGAAAATGACAAGGCACCAAAATTAGCTGAATTTTGTCATTCTACTGTGCCAATTAATTATACTAGTCTAACAAACAAAATGTTCATTAAATTCAAATCTGATATATCGTATCAGGGCAAAGGATTCTCCGCTAACTATAAATCTGTTCCATTGACTTGCGGCGGAGTGTTTTCAGCGGATCAAGGAATTATTTTATCAGCTAATTATCCGATGAATTATCCGCACAATCAAAATTGTGAATGGCTTATTTCTGTTGATCGTCATCATGTTGTTAATTTAACGTTCATTGATTTCGATATTGAAGATACTACCAATTGTACTGACGATTATGTGAAGGTAACTATAATTTATAATTTTAAAAATTTTAATGAAATAAATCTTAAAAAATTGTTTTTTTTTCAAGGTATTTGATGGTCCCAGAAAAGATTATGAAGAATTGGGAACATTTTGTAAGAATTACTTACCGCCGTCGCTCGTTTCATCAGGCAATCAAATGTTGGTAGTAATGAGAAGTGACAGTTTGATCTCAGCGAAAGGTTTCAAAGCCCAATTTGAACGTGCATGTGGAGCAAATATAATTGTGTCTGAACCTGGAGTCTTATCTACTGCATCTAATTTACACGTACGGCAAAGTGAAGGTACTAATTGTACTTGGATACTTAAGGCGGCTAATCCTGCTGATCATATTACCCTCACCATCTTCCACATGGACTTGACCAACTCCTGGATGAACATAGGGGATGACTTGTGCGAAGAACATTATCTGAAAGTTTACGAAGGTGATGGCTTAGAGGGACCAGTACGAGGGTCATGGTGTGGTAGTAAATCACCGGCGCCAATTGTTAGTAATGGGGATACTTTGACACTGCATTTGGTTTCATCGTTTGCTAGTGATGATATGTTCCAAGCAAGCTATTCTATCTTGAATTCTGGTAACACAATATCATTTTATAAGTTACTTAGTTATTTTTACTGACACTTTCAAATTATTTTTTTAGCGTGTGGCGGAAATTATTCGTCTGAAGCTGCGACATTATCATCACCCTCATATCCAGACAGTTACCCTATGAACGCCGAATGCATTTGGATACTGAATAGTTCACCTGGAAACCGAATAAGTTTAACGTTTTCTGAATTTGATATTGAATCAAGTCCGAATTGTGACCACGATTATTTAGAAATACGAGAAAATTCCCCTTCTGGTAAATTATTGGGAGCATTTTGTGGAAATAATATTGATCCGATAACATCTAATACAAAGTTATGGATCAAATTCCGAAGTGATTCCAGTGGAACCGGTAAAGGATTTTTGGGAGAATATACTTTTATTCATGGTAATGATATAACTGGGTCATCTGGTGAAATTGCTTCGCCATTTTATCCCCTGGCATTTAAAAGAAGTGATGAAGTCACCTGGAGGGTCACAGTACCTTTTGGATCGGCAGTACGGGTTGAATTTGATGATTTTCATCTTGAAAATTTTAACGATTGCTACTATTTTAGTTTCACGGTGAATAAATATTTATATTATATTTCGTATCTTTTCTTTGAAATTTTGATTAAGTCAAATGTTTAATTTATTAAAGATCTATGATGGATATGATTCTGATGCCCCAGTTCTTAGTGAACCATGTAGTAACAATTTACCAGATCCAGTTCAGTCTTCAAGTAATGTCATGTTCATTAAATTCAACGGAGATTATATGAGAGAAGGAAATTGGTTTTATCTTCATTGGTATGAAGTACCACGAGATCAATCCTCTGATCGTGAAGTAATCTGTAAGAATCACTTAAAATCATAAATTTTGCACGACTCATGATGCGAAGCATCAGAGAGTGCTTTACGATCGAAAAATTTTTTTTGCCCTATTTCGGCAACAATTTTTATTATAGGTAGTCTTGTTAGTTCACGGAATCAAGATATTTTGCATACTATTGTCAAGATAATTTAATGGACATTAATTTGACACTTTTCAAAAATTGATTTAGTGCAATAGAAACGGAAAAAAACATCTAAATAGGTCAAAAAATTTTCCTATCCGTCATGTATGAAACTCTGAAAACACTGTAACTTGCGAAAAAATGCATTAATTGAGTTAAATTTTTTTTTTTTAATTCTTTGAGAGAATCGTAGGTCACCGAATGCGAATGGCTAACTAATTCAGTGTCGTTTATGTCCAATTAATAAAATAAAACAAAAACCAGAAGACTGTATATCTATATATATTATATATTGTGTACATTTATCCCACTAGAGGCGCTTGGGCATTATCGTGCTATTTTAGCTGTTTTATATATTTTTTTTCACATTCTTTGTTTTATTAATATTTCATAATTAAATAAGCATTATGAGTCGTGCACTTTTGGATTTTTCAAACTTTTAGTTATATTGCTATTAAATAAAAATTTTCATTTTCTATAAAATTTTATATGATAATTCATTAAATTTCCAGTGCCAGATTGTAATGAAGAAATATTTTTGAGTGGAAAAACTAATCTCACTCATATCATAACTTCACCAGGTTATCCAACAGGATACGAAAATGATCTTCAGTGTACTTGGATAATTACTTCCCCTCCAGGAACACATTTGACATTTTGGTTCATGAATATTGATCTCGAAGAATCAAGTGATTGTGTAACTGATTATGTAGATATCTACTCAGGATATGTACGGACATTACCACCACCTCCTGAAGCAAAACTTCAAGGAAGATATTGTAAGAGTAATGAATCGAGCGTCCATGTTGAAACAGGAAATATTATGACGGTTAAATTTATAAGCGATGTTTACATAAATGCAACTGGTTTTAGAGGAATTGTTCACATAAGTCAGTTTTTATAATTTAGTAAAGCCTTTTGAATACTAAACGTCGTTTAGGCATATTAATATTTATCTATTCTTTTTTTTTTAAGATTGTGGCGGTGAATTGACTGGTCCTGATGGAGAAATTGAATTCAACAATGACATCAGGAAGAATTTGGTTCGAGCGTGGAGCTACAAGTGCAATTGGATTGTTCGTGTAAGACCTGGAAGAAAAATTGAAGTTAGAATTACTAATATTGCAATCGATAATCCGGATACGCATTGCGGCAATTATTATTTAATGGTACGATATAATCCTTCCCTTGTCATATAAAATAACAAAAGTGATTTTAATAATCGTTGATAATTTATATTACTATAAAAATTTATACCTTTCAATTATTAATTTACAATTTCTGTGACATAATTACGGTGTATTCTTTTATTTACAAAATCCAGTTGAAAAATGGAGAAAGCCCAGAGTCTCCACTTCTTGGCGACGGAAAGTATTGTGGAAACACGGTACCAGAAACTCTAATGACAACAGGAAATAAATTATTTGTCAAAACAGTTGGAACCGGTACACATGTTTCATTCAAGCTAGAATATCGGTAAATATGCAATAATTTTGGCTCGTTCAATTAATGACATTTATAATATATACAAAAAATATATTTTTATTCATAAATTCCAGCGAAATTGGATTAGATTGCGGTGGAACTTTTAGATTAAAAGATCGTATGGAATTTTCATCACCTTCCTATCCTAATATACCACCACCTTTCTCAGAATGCTTTTGGACATTTATGGCCCCGCCAGGTGAAAGACTTTCCCTACACTTTATTGAACGTTTTGATCTCACTTACAGCGTTGAGTAAGCATAATTGAATCAATGAATTAATGAAAAATGAAGAATATTTTTTCCTTAAAACGTGATTATATTTTCAGCTGTGAAAAAGAATACCTTGAAGTGAGAGATGGAGGCACTGATTCATCGAAACTTTTGGGCAGATTTTGTTCAGACACTGCGCCAAGTAGTCTTACGAGTACTGGAAATATTCTTTATGTTCATTTTTACACAGACGTTACTGATCCTAAAAACGGTTTTAAAGCAACTGTTATTTCTGGAGGTAAAATTTAAAAAATTTTACAATTACAAATTGTGATAATATAGTTGATAAAAATGTGTAACAAAAAAATTTGATTCGTAATACTTAGAATTTTGTGGTGGCATTATTCGTGGAAGTGAAGGTGTGATTTCATCTCCTCATTATCCAGCAATGTATGACAAAAATCAAAAATGCGATTGGTTGATAGTTGGACCCATAGATCATACTTTGACAATTCAATTCCGGGATCTTCATCTTCCTGGTCTCAGAAACTGTGAAATTACTGACCACATCCTTATTGGTGAAAAGATTGCTCACAACGATACTGGTAAAAATAAATTTTACTCAACTTTTGCTATTAAATTTCTTGTTTATAATCAATTAATATTTGGAAATGTTTATTTATGTTTCGACAGTAACACCTATTCGTACTATATGTGGAAGTCTTAAACCCGAACCAATTGTATCAGTGTCCAACGAAGTTTTCGTTTCATTTTTCAGTGACAGACGAAGTTATATAAACTATCGAGGATTCAGTTTAAACTTCACTGCCAGCAAAAATAGTGCGTTTTTTTATTTAAATTAATTATGAATTTCTAATCATTCGCATGATTCATACCACGAATCTTAGAAAGAGGTTTCTATTAGGAATCACGAGTTGTGAAATTTATTTTTGATGATTGCACTAGTTTTTTTTTTTTTTTTTTTTTTTTTAAATGACGACGTATGCATATTCTACAAAGTTGTCTTGGTTCTTACACAGGGTACGATTTAAGTAGTATTTATCCTCGGTAATATTAAAGGCTTCAGGAAATTAAATGCTTACAGTATCAAATAACACTATTTCTTTGAAGATTTTTAAAGTTAGTTTTCTAGATATTAAATAGAATCATTACCTTATACGGAGAGAAAAGAATAGAACTTATTCCTATGTTAGAATGGTAACCATTACCATGTTACATAGTAACGGAAATTTTTGTGAGAACCCTGTGTAAATTTGCTAATAAAAATCTTAGAAATTGTGATAAAAATATGAAAAACCACTCATTCGATGTGGAATTAAATTCTGAAAATAATGTTGTTGCTTTTTTATTTTTTTGATAAAAATCTCAATTTGTGTTATTGACAAAAAACATAACCAAAATAAAAAATCTCAGTTTTTCGTAAATAACTCAATAACTATTGGTCATCAAAAATCGGAAAAAAGATTCTTAAAGAGGAGGAAATTTCTGAAAACAAGTCTCGACTCCCGGAACTCTAGCTTGAAAAACAATAATTTTTATTTAGTGTTGAAAATAGGGTTCCGCGCAATTGCCGTCGTATTTTAACATCGGCGCGGCCGTGTGACAAAAGTCGCGCGGAACTCTATTTTCAACACTAAATAATTTTATTTAGTGTTGAAAATAGGGTTCCGCGCAATTGCCGTCGTATTTTAACATCGGCGCGGCCGTGTGACAAAAGTCGCGCGGAACTCTATTTTCAACACTAAATAAAAATTATTGTTTTTCAAGCTAGAGTTCCGGGAGTCAAGACTTTTTTTCAGAAATTTCCTCCTCTTTAAGGATCTTTTTTCCGATTTTTGATAAGACCAATAGTTATTGAGTTATTTACGAAAAACTGAGATTTTTTATTTTAGTTATATTTTTTGTTAATAACAAATTGAAATTTTCATCAAAAAAATAAAAAAACAACAACATTATTTTCAGAATTTAATTCCGCATCGAATGAGTGGTTGTTTGTATTTTTATCACAATTTCTAAGATTTTTATTAGCAAATTTACACAGGGTTCTCACAAAAATTTCCGTTACTATGTAACATGGTAATGGTTACCATTCTACATAGGAATAAGTTCTATTCTTTTCTCTCTGTATACTCAATGATCAGTCATCAATAAATATAGTAAAATTCCATTTTATTTTAAGCTATTGACATAGTATGAATTTCTTAATAAAATTGAATGAGGATTATGAGGCGTGCACTTTCGAAAGCGTTAATATACTTTAGTAATAACAATATATTTTACAGGCTGCGGTGGTGATATATTTGGTATGTCAGGAGAAATTAAATCAGTAGGGTATCCAAATCCCACTACTCGCCCTCGGTAAGATAATATTTTGTAATTTCTTTAAGAAAGTATATTCACTGAAATTAACTTGATGAATAATATTTTTCTGTCAATTAAATTAAATATGATTAAAATTAAATATGACGAGTACAGTGCTAGCTTAAATGGTTTAAATATTTGCACAAATTATTAATTTTTTGAGTACTGATGATGATGTTCAATTCAAGGTATTGTGAATGGCGAATCACTGTACCTCGAGGCAATCAAGTCCAAGTAGAAATAGAAGATTTAGATCTTCCACAAGAAGAACCTGAAAGATCAGGGCTTTATTTAGCAGTAAATAAATATTTTTATACAATCACTACCATAATTAAATGATCACAATTTAAATGTATTAAAATATTTGTTTTCAGTTTTACAATGATTTTTACTCAAAGTCTAAGATTTCAATAATACGATCTGGACAGTTTTCTCGTACGTATAGCAGCTCTTCGAACATGATGTTGATCTCGTTTTGGATGACCAGTGGGCATAGGGGTCTAAAAGCTCGCTACATTGCGGCAGCGCCAGCGCGTAATTTATCTACATTTTGTTAATAAAGACTTGGATTAAAAAAAATAATTTAATTATTAACAATTAAAATTTTTTTACTAGCTTGTGGTGGAAATATTGATAATTATCACGGCAGTTTGATTGCTCCAACAATGGCGCCTTTTAATCGATCTTCATTTTATTGTGAATGGGCTCTCACAGCTCCGCCTGACTTAGTACGTGAAGGCGTTAATTCCTCAGCTACATTAACTGTATCGGTAACTGGAACCATTGGCCGGTATTCTCGCCAAGGTCGTTCGTGTACTTATCTAATGAAATCTATCATTGTAGCAGGTTAGCCGTTTTTTGTTGGTTAATGTCATCATCATCAGTTATAATTCGATTTCAAAATAAAATATTAAAAAAAAATTTTTATCAATAGGTCCTGATGAAGCAATAGGAATGGTTTGTGGAAATGTTTCTCGAGAGCCATATATTATTAGGAGTCCTTCACCTCTTAATATTATAAAGGTAATTTAAGTTAATTCAAAATTCATCCACTTTTTTTAAACTTCATTATTTTTTAGTAAAATTTATAGCTTTTGAAAAAATTTTGAAATTCAAATAAAACTCACTTTTTAAATTCAAGATTCTCAATGGTACTTATGGTTCTACGATGAATTTTGAATTAGAATATTCATGGCAAATGTGTGGTGGAATACTTAGAGGCCCGAGTCACAAACTCGAAGCACCAAAGGTAACGATTTCTTCTTTCTCACGATAAAATTTCTCGGATCATAATTTGTCAGTAAAAAATATATCGCTACCATAACACTAGCACACAAAAAAAATTATTTGTACATTTTGATCGGACCCACCTACGGACGTGTATTTCGACCCGCTAAATCCGAATTTGAAGTCCGCTTGGTCCGGTCAGCCTCCAGATTTAAGTAAAATCCAAAAAAAGGCAAAAAATTGTGAAAAACTACAATCATAGCGATGAAAAAATTTTTGTGGACTCGAATTAAGTATAATTTTCGTGTATTTCAATTCACTGAATCTCAAAAACCGAAAAAAATTGCAAAAAATCATGAAAAACTGAAATTATCGAGATGAAAAAAATTTTTTGGATTCAGATAGATTATGATTTTTATGTATTTTGTTCCGCTGAATCTGAATCTGAGGTTTTTTTTGTCTTATTAAAGTTCAAATTCGGATTTAGCGGGTCGAAATACATGTCCATAGGTGGGTCCGGTCAAATGCACAAGTAACTTTTTTTTTGTGTGCCGGTGTAATTAATTCTTGCAAAAATTAATCATTTTATAATTCGTTTGTCAATAATTACTCATCGATGATGATGATGATGATGATGATGAAAAATGATTACAGATAAAACAAGACATGACACCAGCACCAAATAACGTTTTGTACCCCAGAAATTGTGCATGGCGAGCAGAATTCGCTGACGATGGTGGAGTTATTCAATTGGCCTTTACTCACCTTGATATGGGCAGCTGCAATGATAATTATATTATTGTTAGGTAAAAATTCATCCAATACAATCTATGGAACAATTAAATTTATTTTGTATTTTTAAAATAAATTGAATATCATGCACAGAAATGGTGGACCTATGTCACCGGAAGTAGGAAAGTTCTGTGGTAACGTGATACCAAAAAACATAACCAGTTCTTCGAATAAGTTATGGATTGAGTATCACGCTACGAAATCACCTAGCGATTTCCAGCTTGAATTAAGTAGTGATAAATATGGATGTGGTGGTACTATGCGAGGAAATCGTAAGGAAATATCTTCTCCCAGGTATTTATTATATTTTATCCATACCTAAAAAAAATCTTATCACGACTCAAACAAAAAATTCATTTCTTTATTGTTATAAAATTTATATTTATGAAACTTACTATAATAAGAAAATAGCTCTTAAAAATTATTTCTTCTTCGTTAGTTTTCCAGGTCAATATCCCAACAATGCTGAATGTACTTGGGAAATAATTGCAGAGCCTGGTTATCATGTTGGATTAGTTTTTCTTGATAGATTCAATTTAGAAACAAGTACAAATTGCTCAAATGATTTTGTTGAAGTGAGTGCACGTTCATGTACTTAAATACCTAAAAAAAATGGTTTAGATTACGTTATTTTAAAAAAAAAACCCTTACTTTGACGATATTTTCATTATAATTGGTTCTCGAAAACGTACTTTTCATTTGTTCAGTTTCTTATAATTGGTTTTGTAACAATTATATCTTTGAAATTTGATTTCTTATCAATTGATGGAAGCGCTTATAGTCGATAGAAAATATAGTCGATAGATAATTTTAATTATTGAAACCAAAAAATTAATTTTTAGATCACTTATTTAAACGTCAATAATTCAATTATGAATGTATGATGTTTTATTCATTATATATTGATTTTTCATTTGTGATATAAACGTTGATCCAAGCTATCTTCTTGATTACCGATTTTTATGAAATCTTTAATGTTAAACATTTTTTTTAATTGCATAATTTAGATTTTAGAACGGGACGTGTTTAATGCTGATTCATGGAAACAGTTAGGAAAAATTTGTGGTAGGAATATGCCACCAACATTTAATGCTACTTCAAATCGTGTGAAAGTAGTATTCCGTTCAAATGAAGCTGTTCAAGGAGACGGTTTTCATGCAAAGTGGGAACGTAATTGTGGTGGAGTTTTTGTTGCCTCAAAACAACGCCAAATGATTAGTTCACCAAATTATCCATCCTATTACGCTCCAAGTCTCTACTGTAATTACACAATCCTTGCACCGGAAGGATACTCTGTTTTAGTGGAATTCATAGATTTCCAATTAGAATCTAGTAATTTATGCTAAATTTAATATTTATTATCAATTTAAGTACAATCTACAACCAAATACCGATTGTTCATACATAATTCATTTTTTGTTCATTAGAACTTAATTGTGATTACGACAATATAAGTATTACGCGCAATGAATTTGGATGGTATGATTCAGAATCTGTTTGGTGTGGCACGAATCCACCACCAGTCCAGCATACCGACCATTCAGTGGAAATTATTTTCCGAACTGATAAATTTATTCAAAAACGAGGTTTTCAATTCTCGTATTTCATAAATGGTAACTTTATTAACTGTATAGTTTAATTATCGTCATTTTTTTTATAGAAAATATAATCTAAAGTTTAAACACTTGATTATTTTTTGTTAGAATGTGGAGGTGAATTAACAAAAGAGGGAATAATAGAACCACCAACTTCTAAAGATTCGTTAACGTACTTCGGAAAACTTAATTGCACTTGGATTATCCATGCTCCAGATGATAAAAGTGTTGTTTTAAGATTTGAAATGTTTGAATTGGAATACACTTCCAGGTAACAGAATTTAAAAAAAAATATGTGACACGAAAACGTTTCAAAGATTTCCATTTATGCAATTTTGCATAGTTTTGTTTTTTAATAAAATTGTCCGAAGTCTGCTATTTTCGGTCTCGTCTTATATATTTTTTTTTACTAAAAAAAAATACAAGTTTATTTTGTATCATGTTATGTATAATTTTATTTACAGATGTTACTTCGATAATTTGATGGTTTACGAAGGTTCACTACTAGATAATGAAAAACTATTAGCTACTCTGTGTGGTAACTTGACAGATTCATTGCCAGTAATTAAATCTGTTGGCAATGATATGGCAGTTAATTTTAATTCCGATGAAAATAAACACTTTAAAGGATTCAAAATTGCGGTAATTACAAAAAATGTTTATGATTATTTTTTAAATGAATATTTTTAAAGTTATGATAAGGGAAGTGTCAATACCTAAATTGATATCTTCAAATAAAAAGTTGGTTTAGTAAGATGTAAAGCCTTGTCGTTAGGCAACGGTTGCTATGGGGGTGTTGCCTAGCGAGAGGGGGTTGCTATGGGGCCTTCTATGGGGTTTCTATGGGGTAGTAGTAGTAAACATAATAAGGGTAGTAAGCACTCGCAAAAATATATTTTAGTTATAATTTTTTAAAATAAAATTTTATTTCAACGAGATTTTATTAGTAGATTTCATAAAAATTTAACTACACGGAAAGAAAATTATGGGAACTATTCCTATAATATTATGGGAATGGTTCCCATAATGCTATAGGAATCATTTCTATATTATTAGGAATGGTTCCCATAATTTATGGGAACCATTCCCGTAATAGTATAGGAATGGTTCCCACAATATATAGGTTTAAATCCTACAGGGAAAAAAAAATTGGGGCTACCACATGATACATTCCTGTGGAAGATACATGACTTTCATGTGACAGCAACATGATTTTCATGTGGTAGAGAATAATAGTTAAAACAACATCAATAATAATTAAATAATAATAATAATTTATATTATTAAGAGAATAAGAACAATTTTGTCTACTGGATAGTCACATGATGAAATCGATTTTTTTAGTGAAATTTAGTGTCATCGCAAAGGACTTGACTTGAATTTGTTTCTTTTCAAGGTTTCATATCATTCTCGTCGATAGTCAATTTATGATGATAGATATTTAGGTTGCATTCGAAAATTTCGAACTCACTCCACACGAAGATTTTATCTTTATTTTATTTTGAGAATGATTCCCATAATGGTATGGAATGATTCCTATAATATTTTAGGAATCCTTCCCATACTATTATGGGAATAGTTTCCATAATGATATAGGAACCATTACTATATCATTATGGGAATATTTCCCACAATATTATGGGAATGGTTCCTATAATTGTATAGGAATCATTCCTATAATTATAGGAACCATTCCTATGCCATTATGGGAACCATTCCTATGCCATTATGGGAACCATTCCTATGCCATTATGGGAACCATTCCCATCGTTATGAGAAATGTTCCCATAATTCTGGGAAAATTTCCTATAATTATAGGAACAGCTCCCATAATTCATGGGAACAGTTCCTATAATTGCCTGGGAACTGTTCCCATAAAATTATGGGAATAGTTCCCATATTTTTCTTTCCGTGTATTACATTGGACCTCATGACGGAACTTTTGAAAAATTTTGCTATATATCGATTCAGCTCGTCAAGTGGATTCAGAAAATACATATGGTTCAAAAGTTTATATATCTATGTATTTATATATTTATATACGATATAATCGGCTCTGTCTCTTCTATACCTCCCTTAATTTTGAACGGATTTTAATGAAACGTCACATACTTTCTTTTTGGACGATTTCCGACGTTAAGTTCTAAGATGAGCCAATTCTGTCGATTAGCTTAGAAATGACCAATTCAAAAATTTTTTTGAATCGCAAAAAATTTTCACTTTTACCGTATTTTCGTGCAATAAGAATTAAACGCGATATCCAATCAAATTCCTGTAAATTGCGTCTGAAAACTTATTAAATAAATTTCAATTTGCATAATTCACCATCAGATCTAGACCAAAAATTACCTACTATCTCAGATAGACTTAATGAAATTTTACTTTTGCATTCGTTTTGATGTCATTATTTTATTGTAACGGAAGTTATATATTATGATTAATAGTATTTTATAAAAAATATGTTTTTTTTTTGAGAAATCTACTTCCATTTTGGCTACTAATTTTTTTTTTTTTTTTTTTTTATTTAGGTTTTGTTTACGAAAAATGAAGCGAGTGGTTGTGGTGGAAAAATAGATTTGAAGTCTTCCCAAACTTGGAAAACACAAAAGGGGGCCACTTATGATCCATTAGAAGATTGTTTGTGGACTGTTTCTGTTCCGTCTGGTAAAAACATTAAAATGACCATCACAGGCATGGATCTTAAGAATAATTTGAATAAAACATCATCAATATATGGTGACGCATGTACTGGAGATTTCTTAGAGGTACATCACTACTTGCTTTAAAATATTTTGGAAAAACATCAATGACAATTAAAATTACTTATTATTTGCATATACTTAGGTACGTGACGGTATAGGTCCTTTCGCTGAACTGCTCGGAAGATTCTGTGGGAATACTGTCCCACAGCCAATTGTTTCTTCGATGAATCACCTATGGATCAGATTTTTCAGTGACGCCGAGTTCCAAGGATCTGGAGTAACGGCTAGTTTTGACATAATCGATTGTAATGCAGCCTTAAATTATTCTTACAATGTAAAAAAAAATTCTAGAGATAAAGCATTAATTATTGTTGTAAAATTACAATTTTTCAGCTCCTTGTGGTGAGACAATGATATCAATAGTAAATGCTTCAAAATTAATAACATCACCTGGATATCCTGCCGATTATACTTTGGGTCTTCGATGCAAATGGATTGTAAAAGCACCACATGGTCATGATGTTCATATTCATTTTGTAGATGTTGACATGGAAGATTCTGAAAGTTGTTCTGGAGATCGGTTACAGATTGTGGATCAAATGGTAGTTTCTGTTATAATTTGTTTTTATACGATCGATTATTCATTTGTTTTATGTTTTAGAACAATCAACATATAAGTCAAGATTTCGGCGAAGATTTTGTTTACAGTGGAAAAAGTAACCAACGTCATTTGCTTAGATTAGTAAGTATTGATGATTTCATTATTGATTAAAATTATTATCTGTAAACTAATTTAAGACCTCATAAGAAAATTAAATTTAAAAACTCACCTTCAAAATGAAAATTTTTTCTTCGTTGGATTTTTTAACTTAAATTATTACAAGCTTAGAAATTTGTGGTCATAATTACCATCATTCATTTTTAATGATCCCATTATTAAATTCGATGAAATTTGACTATTATTGATATCGATATTATTTCCTAAAATCGAGGATGATAACTATTACTATCTCCGTATAGTATTCATTATTGTTTTATTAATTCACATAACGTTTTGCAAATTTATTTTTTACTTAATTTGTTCCTAAATTCCTAAGTTGTTAAGATAGGAAAATTTATGATAATGATGGTTTTTATCTGCCCCATTTTCTGGACATAGAATAATTAAGTTATAAAACTTGGACTCAAATTATGTAGAGCAAACTCAAAGTTTGTAGTAGCATTTCATTATTCACAATATATAATTCAGAAAATTAGTCAATTGAGTGTCATTTAAAAAAAATTTTGATATACATTGAGTAGCTTAAATAAGTTAATAACTATTTTTTTTTTTTTTTATTAGGGAAGACATCATCCGATGGCAGCGTTCACATTTTGTTCGAAATTTGATGCATATGATTATTACAGGTTTCTGAAAACATTGATTGAATTTTTAATGTAAATAAAAAAAGTGTTTTAATATTTTTTTTTTTTTGTAGTGGAGGAAGTGAACTAGAAATAAATCTTAAATCTACAACAGATCATCCGGAGAAACGAAGAAAATTCAAGCTTGATGTTGGATTATCTGATTGTAATCGTAATTATACAAGCCCTCAGGGCAGAATTATACATCAAGGATTCACCGATTGCTGGATTAACATAGAAGTACCACCTGGAAATACGATTTCATTATATTTCAACAATTTGAGACTTTTCGATATGTCTGAATGTACACAAAGTTACTTACAAATTCACGACGGTGGCTTTAATGCTCCATTACTTGCAACATTGTGTGGCATGCAAGTACCGTCACCGATTTTTAGTACCTCAAATAAGTTGAGTCTGCATTCTATATCGGAACGTGGTGTCATTTGGGAGAGTTATGATATTTTGTATACATCAACTGATAAGGGTAATCTAATATTTGAGTCGATTTCTTTAAAGCCATCTGAAACATATTCATCAAGTGCTTATTTATTTAATTTGACGTTACTTTCAACAGGACGTGGATGCGGAGGAAAAATTTACAATTATGTTGGTCGATTCACATCACCAATGTATCCAAATAATTATCGTAATACTAGTGAATGTACTTGGGATTTGAGTGTCCCCCGTGGTTTTAAAATTGTCCTCGATTTCCTCGTTTTTGATTTAGGGGCAAGCGACTGTTCAACTGATTATATTACTATAACTGACCTTTCGGGTAATTTGGAACGAACAACAACACATTGTGGAAAAGTAAGTTTGATAATATTGTATCCAATTACATTTGGAAAAAAAGTTTGGAAAATCCAAAAGTGCACGACTCATAATGCTCATTTAATTATGATATATTAATAAAACAAAAAATGAAAAAAAAAATATATATATAAAACCGCTAAAAAAACAACTGTAGTAGGAAGGTAATACACAGGTGCCCCTGGTGAAATAAATGTACATAATATCTATAGATATAAATATATCACCATCCATGTTAATTTTACATGTAATGGATATATATATATATATATATATATATATATATATATATATATATATATATATATA